TTATTGGACTATAATTTACTGAAATGCATTGCACACATCTCTTATCTTATATTTTAGAGATATAATTGGCCTCTATCACCTAGGTGGGAATATGAAACAGAAAGAGATTTTAATAACAACTTACCATATAACTCTCTCAGGGCACAAAAAATTGTAAACTGACCTCATTTTTAAAAACATTTAAAAATTCTGTGTAATTAATATTCATGTTTGCCAGCTACATAAAATCTAAATATATATGCAAAGTGACATAAACAGAATTGCAAGGCAATTTTGTATACACATCCTCCATATAAATATATGAAAATATATGCATTTAAAGAGACATATACATATATAGCTTCAACCCTAATGATGAAATTCTAAAGAGAGTTAATGTTTCTACCAAAAAGAAAAGCAATAGCAAGTAGATTTCTTGGATCTCAGAATGTTTCATCAATTATAATAATTTATTAACTTTCCATTAAACTTACTTTTATCATGTGTTAATATGCTAAAATAATAAATACCTATAAACTATAAATAATTTATATGCTCAGATGTCAAAATTCATATTATAAAAGTACAAATATCAATTTCAAGTAGATAATTAGTTGGAAGACAGAAACATAAATAGGGACTAAACTGGGTAACTGATTTCCTTGTATCTTTAGCTGTCTTTCTACAATAGTACATGCATACACCCAGACAGAACATATGACAATTAATGATCAGTGATATACAGCATCTCCTAATAAGCTAAATAGTACCTTGATCTATACATATTTGTTGAGAAAATTGTGTTTCTTTTTACATATCTAGTCCTAAATAAATTGTGCAAGTAATTCACTTCTACCTTTCACTAGACAAAGTGTTTGCACTACCAGAAAGAAGCATTGACTGCTAACATTTCACAATCTTGAAATTCATGATTTAGGTTAATATCTTTAAAATGTAGGTTGTATTTTAATTTACTAATGAGGGAAGCAGTATAAAATTTCCCATAGCCACACATTGAAAAAGTGATTGTATATAAATTGTTCATTATATCAAAATAATCTATATGTCCCTTGGATTTCATTATATTGAAATTTTATCCTTATATTAATTCTCTCTCAACTTTTTTTATCTTCCACATAACTCCACCCTACCTCTCTTCCTCTCGCCTCACTCCAAGAAATAATTTTGATTGGTAGTTAAAATTTGTTTTAAAAGGTTAAACCCATATTTATTCACTCAGATTAGACATTCTTTTAGTGTTTCCTGAATCAGACTTACATAGTATATGTTAAGAATTAAGGGGAGTTTTTCTTAGAAGCAAAGAGATGGACTATCCAATTTTCTAATACTTCCCATTCCTGATTTTACATTAATATACAAAAATCTTAGCAGAAAAAAGTTTAAGTACATACCTATTCTTTAGGGGTTAGAGGAAGATCTCTCAAAGCACACCATCTACTGGTAAGTAGGTAACATTATAGAAACAATATACAAACATACATTTAATCAATCAAATAGTGAACGCATAAATTTATCTCCATAAAGAAAAGGGAACCCTTGTACACAGTTGGTGGTATTATAAATTAGTACAGCCATTATGGAAAATAGCATGGAGGTTCCTCAAAAATTAAAAATAGAATTGCCTACCATATAATCCCACTTCTGGGTATATAGCCAAAGGAAATGAGATCAGTATGTTGAAGAGATTTCTGCACTCCCATGTTTATTGTAGCATTATTCACAATAGCCAAGACATGAAATTAATCTATGTGTCCACCAACGGATGAATGGGTAAAGAAAATTCGGTGTATATACATATATACACACAATGGAACACTATTCAGCTTTAACAAAGAAGGAAATCTTGTCATTTGCAACAACATGGATGAACTTTGCGGACATTATATTAAGTGAAATAAACCAGAAACAGAAAGACAAATACTGTGTGTGGAATCTATAAATGTCTAATTCATAGAAGCAGAGAGTAGAATTGTGGTTGCTGGGGGTGAGTTAGGGAATTAGGTAGATGTTGGTCAGGTGATGCAAAATTTAGTCAGATGAGAAGAATAAGTTTAAGAGATCTATTGTGACTATAGTTGACAACAATGTATTGTATATTTGAAAATTGCTAAGAGTAGATTTTAAATGTTTTCATCTCAAAAAATAAGTATGTAGATAATATATATGTTAATTAGCTTGATTTAGCCATTCCACAATGTATATACATATATCAAGACATCATGCTGTACAATGTAAATATATAATTTTTATTTGTCAATTAAAAATAAAAAAGTATCCATATAAATACTTGTAATAGACTAAGAAAATGTTTAATGACGTAAAAGCTTTATAGAATACAACCCCAAATATGATAGCCATAGGTAAAGCCCCTTCTTTAGTCTTCCTTTGAAAAATAAAAGCAAAAACAAAAGCAAAATCATTCCTAGACCAGCAAAATCCATCTTTGGGTCTTTGTTTGAGGTATTTTTCTTTAAGATATTCAATTCTTATTCCATTAAATGTCTTTCAATTGTTATTTATGACTATAAAAGAGAAGTTTTATCTTCATACCTGGTGAAAAGGCTTTGTGTGTGAGTGTGCATATGAATATTGTGGGGTTTTCTTTTTAAGATTATTAGTTAAAAAACTTCAAATTTAAAAATTGTCATAAAACTTGAAGACCACTGAAAATATGTCCCTGGATTACTAAGGGTCTGCAGACCTCAGTTTGAGAGATGCTGCCCTATGTCAAGCTTGTGGCATTAAGATAGAAAGCACATGTTATTTCCAAATCATATATACATATATATATATATATTTTTTTTTTAAGAACAGGGCTATCATTAACTCCTAATGTTTTTGTTGACACTGTATTTTTCCTGCCTGGTCATATTTCTCATGTGGCTATGAGACACAAGGGGAGAGATTGTTATACAAGTAACATGCTTCTGGGTCTTTTGTTACAATTATATACCTTGGCAGTAATCAGACCAAATCTGAATGTATGAAATAAATTATTCAGGGTCTAGTGTACATCATAAGTTCTTTAATGTCTAAACCACTTTGTTCAACGTCTACCATATTATAGAACACAAATTCACTAAATAAGTATTTTTTGAGGATAATACTTAAATATCAACTAAAGGACAATCTTGACTATATTAGTTTGCTAGGACTACTGTAAGCAAAATCCAGGTGGCTTAAACAACAGAAATGTTTTGTATCACAGTTCTGAAGGCTAGAAGTCTGAAATGAAGGTTTTGGAAGAGTTACTTTCTTCTGAAGACTGTCAGGGAAGGATCTATCTCAGGCCTTTCTCCCTGGCTTGTAGTATACCTTAAGGTTTACATAGCATGTTCCCTATATGTATGCCTGTATCCAAAAGTCCCTCTTTTATGAGGACACCAGTCATATCGGATTAGGGCCCCACCCTAGTCCAGTATGGCTTAATCTGAATTTAACTAAATTACATAGGCAACTACATTATTTCCAAATAAGGTCACATTCTCAGAAACTAGAGTTCAGGACTTCAACATATAGAGTTTTCAGAGGGGGACACAATTCAACTCATAATACTAATTGACATTTCAGTAACAAGATTAGAGGCTGATTTCCACTGTCATCTAAAAAGGCCATCAATTCTTGTGGCAGGCAGAAAAAGACCCCCCCCCCCAAGAAGTCTATGTCCTAATTCTTGGGACCTGTGAATATTTTAGGTTACATGGAAAAAGAGAATTAATGTTGCTAATCAATTGACCTTAAATTAAGAGATTATCCTAGATTATTTGAGTAGGCTCAATAAAATCACAAGGCTCCTTAAATGTGGAAGATGAAGGCAGACAACTTAATATCATAGTGATGCAACGTGCAAAAGATTTTAGCAGCCACTACTAGATTTGAAGATGGAATCAGGCCACGAACCATGGAATGTGGGGAGCCTTTAGAAGTTGGAAACAGCAAGAAAACGGAATCTTCCCTTATCCTTATCTTGCCAGAAAGGATAACCCAAATGACATCTTGAGATGTCATGGGAAAACCCAAATGACATCTCAGTGAGACCCATTTCAGATTTCTGACTTCCAGATCATAAGATAATAAATTTGTGTTGTTTTAAGCCACTAATTTTATGATAATTTGTTACAGCAGCAAATAGAAAACATATAGTTCCCCTTGAACATGTTGACGACAGTGACCTCAATATGTATATATTCCTCTATAATACTCTGTTGACAAGTCAAGTAATTAGGATAATACTATTTCAATGGTGAAGCCACTGCTGTCACCAAAATAAATGGATACACTCACTCTTAATTTTATCTATCATATAAGTGTAGCTATTTTCTCAATAAGACAATGTTGACTCCAGAGTGGAGCAAAGCTGATATCTATTAGTCAAATAATATAGAATGGAGAATACTTTGATTACATATTTCTTTACACATGTGAAAACAGGCAAAAGAAAATTTAGTTGTTTTTTCCTATAACCACCAGCTCTTTAAAAGTCTTTCTTATACAAGAATTAAGATTTTACTTTATATATGCGCTTCTAATACTTTAATGTGCATATGGAACACCTAGGGATCATGTTAAAATTCATATTCTGATTCAGTATGTCTAAGGTTGGGCTAGAGATTTTGCAGTTTCTAAGCAGCTCCCAAGTGATGCCTATGTTGCCACTCTATGGATCACACTTTGAGTAGCAAGAATTTAATAGATATAGATTTACCAATCCCTACCAAAAATGTAAATTGAGTGCATATTGCAATCAATACTGAATTCAAAGAGTCTCTTTGTACATTAATATTACTAGTTGGTAGGAAAAATACCACAAACTAACTTTCAACATATTTTAATGATTTATTGATGATAAAAGTCAGCCTATAGGTTCTAAATAGTGTCAGACTGGTTACTTTAATAACTAACATACATATTCAAAGATAACTTCATTTGGTTATACTGTTGTCTTAGAATAGTCAAGATGAGTCAAGCCTGAGCATTTGAATACCTAATGCAATACTTACACTAATGGAGAATATATTTCTTCTTCCACATTTTATGATGCCCTGGGTCTCTTCCAATTGTTGCTCTGTTGAGGAGATTTCAACACAACAAATGACTGGTCTATGAAAGGGCAAAGCTATTTGGAAAAGGGGTCTCAGATAATTAATTTCTCAAATGGCACAGCTATTCCATCCATTAAACACACAATAGATAGATCAAGCTAACCAAATAAGAAAGTATTAAAGTAATAAATTAGTGTAGTAGAAAACTTATATAATCTTATAATCTTATAAGCTATTCTTTCATGAAATCTAATGAAGAAGTGCTTTCATCATTAGTTGGTTTGACAGTAGGAAAGAATATGGTTCTATGTGCCTTCTGCCAGTGAAGCCATTGGGGGTCAAAACAATGACCCCTTTCCCCTAAACCTTAGCCTTTATATAAAAAAGTCATTTCCACTGAAAGAAAAAGGAAAATGCCATAGGTATCAGAGGTTCAGAAAGAGAGACAAGTTGGGGGGAAATACATCTTTATAGATATAGATGCAAATTAAAAATAACAACAAAAGGCCTCATTCTAGCTCCCTAACCTATAACCTAATAAATAGCCTACACATTAAGCATGCAGCATCTAGAATGACACTTGCCTTCAAGTCCTGCCTCTGCCATTTACTAGTTCAATGACCTTATAACAGCAGCATACGCAAACACTTGTCTCTATGAGAAAAGTGCCTACCAGGGATATGTAAGCCACATGTTTGCATGTCTCTTTTAACAATCTTAAAATAAATTGTTCCCAACACCAAGAGAACAAAGAGAAAGGAGATGTTTTCTTGAAATTTTTGCCACTCTGAAAAAATAACATGTTTAAAGATTCTAAGAATCAACCCAGTTGGACATAAGTCTGGTTGTAAAACAATAGGAGACCAGTAGGGTAGGATAGGTGCTGTTATAGATTTCTTTACAGAAGGCAGGTGTAAACTGTGGCACTTAATTGATTGACAGTACAATCTCATGTGTCTGGTTGCCATGCACCATGTACCTAGATCTCTGGTTTAATCCAGGCAATTTTGCTACTAGTTGGCACAAGGATGACTTCATTTGCACAAGTTTCAATTTATTACCTTAAAATTTTATGCAGACTGGAAAGGTCTCAGGATGTCAGTGACAATTTCTGAATATGCTAACATCTCTAGCTCCCTTCTTATGCAGAATATATCTCTGAAATATTATCCTTGTTTACTTTCAAACCGGTATGCCCTGATATAGGGTACTCAATGCAAGCATATTAAGACATCAACAATTTCAGTTTGAGTTCACTGACTCCACTGTAAAATCAAAATCAACAATTCAAATATTTTTATCTAGTTGGGGATTATACTATACAAAAATATAATTCCCCATGGAAGTACAATGACATTTTAAAAGCAGAATGAATTATATATTTTAAAATATATATTTTCTACAAAGTTTCATGCTATCTTTTTCAATGAAGACTGAGAAACTGTGTTTTTTAAAATACCTAAAATAGATACAAGTATACACCATTTGATCAAGCTTAAACATCACTGATTTTGTAGAAGTGGTATGGTGTTCATGGGAAACACATCACACACACACACACACACACACACACACACACACACACACACATTGGGCAAGGACTCCAGAAATTTAGATCCTAACCAAAGCTCTGCCAAAAAATCATTACATAGCCTTAGTAAAGCAGACCCTGATGATTATAAGTCAAATAGACCTACATTTGTACCCCAATTGTGACATTTAGTACTTATATGGTCCCAGGAAAGTTAACTGCTTTGAATATCGGTTTTGTTGTTTGCAAAATGGGGTATAATACTAGACACTAATTCACAGGGATGTTGTGAGGTTTAAATGTGCTAACATACAATATTTTTAGCACAATGCCTGGCACTAAGTGTTTAATATTAAAGTTCACTAACACTAGTGAGATACTTCACTTCTCTGAGTATCAGATTCCTTATTTGTAAAATAAAGAGATGATTTATCATTTGAATATCCCTTCCAGATCAATCTCTACAAATTAAATGGGAAAACCCAATGGTAGTCTCTCATTCAGATAAGAATTGTAAAATAAATCTTAAAACACAAACACCATACTCTCCTTTTTTTCACATTTTATTTTAGGCCCTCTAAAATTAATAGCGATCTAAGCACCATATTTTAACCAAAGTTGTCTAACTTTGAACAGTTTTCTCTATTTGTCTACATGTAAACGTCTAGGAAGTCTCAATTATTATGAATGCTGGCTACAGTCTAAAACAGTTTTGAGGGAATTCACATAATGTAGGTAATAAGAGAAAAGGTCAAAGAAAAGGATTTTCCCTTAGACTAAATAACAGTCCTAGTTTACTTACAATAATCTATAACAATGATTTCCAAATTTATAGGTTATAATGCCGCACTTGACTGCTTTTTAATCCATGTTTCTAACCAGAAAATCTTTATGTGATATTGGGATGGTGCCTCAAAATGAGGCAGTAGCCAAAGTGAAATCTGTAAAAAGCCTCTATATTAAACCACGATCACACTGTCATTCAAGCAAAACTTGAGCTCCATGGAGCAATGAAGTTTGAAGCCCAAGGAGAAGGAAAATGACTACCAATATATTATATAATAGCAATCATGGCAACCATCACAATGATCAGCTTTGATTCAAGAGATGTTAAAATCAAAATTATCAGGGATGGTCAATGTAAAAGTGATTAAAGATATAAGGCAATAAAAAGTAATTGGTAGATTTTAAAAGACACATGATGCAGTTTCACCAATAAGTATAGAAAAAGGGAATTCATCTTAATTTAGAATTTTTCCAACTGAGAAAATTACAGACAGAACCACTTCTGGGATAATGTTCCCTTGGACATGTTTATGAAAACGTGATGTATTTGGAGGCTACCCACTACATAGAGGGCTCCCTAATGCCTTTTCTCTGACTTATATTCAGGTTTATTTAGTCACTATAGGGTCCCTTGCCTGATTAGTAATTAATAAATGTTTACATTTCACATGTGTATAGTAACAATATCACTTCATTTCCCAGAAGATTGTTTTCTAAAGGAAAAAAAGAATATATGTAACTACAGCTATTTTAATTAGTCAGTCAGGTGTTGTAGACAGATGATAAATAAGTAGATAGCATGGCCCCAACCCTTAATGTGGGGTTTAAAAAACCCCTGAGAAGTCCAGTCTCTCTCTCTCTCGCTCTCGCTCTATCTGTGTGCATGTGTGTGTCTCTGTCTCTCTCACTCACACACACACACACCAAATAAAAAGAAAATAAAAAAAAATAATATGAACCAGGCTAAAAGAAAATGACAAATACAAGAATTAATGTGGAAATTCTAGCAAAAGTGAGCTAACAGTTGGGATAGACTTGAAAGGCACTTATGGAGATGTATAACTTGAGTTAAGCTTCCAACATGGGTAATATTTGAATTATGTGGAAGAGAGAGCATCCTAGATGAAGGGGATGACAGTGATGTGAGAAGGGTAAGGAGTGGTATGGAGGTAGGTTGTTTAGGGAACATTAAGGAGAGTTGTGCATTGAATAATAAAGTAAAATAAGGTTCCTATGGTACAGTGAGACCAGATTATACAGTTCTTTGAAATTCAGGTGGAATCGGGCTTGGAACAATATAAAACAGTGAGCCAAGAATTGGTAAAAAAAAAAAAATGAATTAATGAACGAAGTGTTCACAGATCATTATTCTGGTGGGATAAATTAAGGATTTGTGGCATAGGTGAAGACTGGCTAGGAAGCTTCTGTTGCGATTATATAGGTGATGATGAGAGTTTAGATTTTAGAGTAAGGGAGGAAATATGTGAGAGGGCTTTCAAAAGAAAATTCACCAGGACTTGGTAATCCCTTAACCACAAGAAATGGAGAAAAATCCAGATTTTTCTGTAAAATAGATCATCTCCATGATCAGATAGATGGTGGAGGGCAATTAATAACACTACTGTACAATTTTTCCTCCAAGGACAGACAGGCATGTTGTTCCTCACAATTGCTGAGTAATATAATCCCTCACAATAAAGTGATGTTGGAGAGAGTCCCTCAAAATAATATTTGACTACAGTGGTTCTAGCAGAGGCACAGAGGGAGAATAAAGAAGGACTCAGCACCAAACCTGGAATCAGGACTAAAGATTTATAAGAGACTATTTTAAGAAAACAAAAAGAAAAGAAAAAAAGAAAAATTTCTGATTCTGAGTCTCCACAATGGATTTCACTCTATTTTCAAAGAGTTTAAGGTTCAAAATCACCATCACCCCACATCGGAGTTCCTCTAAGATTAACAGATTCGTTTACATAATTAATGTTTACTTTTTTCTCCAAACACAAATGTTTCTCATCTGAGAAATTTCTATCCCACAAATTTATTTCTGCGTATTTTCCATTACTACACATCTAATATCTAAAATTCATTTCTGCGTATTTTCCATTACTACACATCTAATATCTATAGATTGAGAAATTGCCTTCTCAAATTTATCAGGCCCATTTGGGGCTTGGATATACTCAGTAGGCCAGATTCAAAGTAACTGGCAGAGAGCCCTCCCCACCAACTGGTGCTTGAAATATCACAAGGCCAAGCCCCCTAAGCCTTCCCATATTCAGCATTGAAAGGGCTCAGCCCCACCCCCTCCAATTAAACCGAAAAAGCGCCTGCGCATGCTCCATGTAGATTCTCGTCGAGAATAACCCTCCTCAAGGTACTAATGCGCAGGCGCAACGTCCTCGGTGCGTTTGAGTAGGGCTGTGAGAAATCTACTGTCCAGTGAAATCTGGAAGTGGTAGAATTCAACCCCCTCTTTTCTTTGGAGGCAAAAGTGCCACTTCTTTTTACTACCGTGCCAGAAGCGCGTCCCAAACATCGCCCTCTCTCGGAGTAAGTTTCTTCGTTCTCTGGCAATGCCTACTGTATCCCTATTCTCAGCTCGTTTCTAATCGCAAGCTGCTGCCAGCCTTCGCTCAGAGAGAAGAGACAGTTAGTTCCCAAGAAGCCGCACCAGTTTGTTGGCTGCCTGTTTAGGCCACAGAACCTACGGGCCCCCCACTGGGCAAAGCTTTACCGCGGTTCCTTGCCCGCCCCGCTTCGCCCTTCATACCCACCCAGGTTAGGTGCTTACCTCGGGCGTGGTCCGGTCACGGAAGAGATTAGAGGGACCCAATTAGGCCACTGCTGGGACAGGCGGATTCAGCGAGATTTTTCCAGGGTTTCCACTGCCGCCTCAGACAATGAAATCAGCGTGTCCGATCATCAATTCTCATCATGATCGTGACGTCACAAAAGACAGCGGCCAATGAGAGCCCGAGATCAGCTCCGGACAGTCCCTGGCCTCAGCCCAGAACCTCGAGTCGGGAGGGGAGAGGAGAGATGGCTGCCTGCAATTGGGCTGCCTCTTCCCCTGCACATATCAGCTGCATCTATGGCCAGGCCTTTCTGTACCTCTCCCTCCCAGAATAGCTGTGAACACCCATAATCCCTGTGACTATAGTAGTTAGTTACATGCCAGCCATTTGAGGAGGTGCTGCTTGGCCTTCCAATTTGAGATTACCTGTCAAAACCAAATGATAGCAAAAGAACATAGATCTTTTGTGGTCAGTGTTCAATTGACAGGTATATATTCAGTTTTACTAAAATCAAGAAGGCGTCCATTGAGCCTTTAGAAGTTTTCAGTAAGAGCAAGTATGCTGTTACATGTGACTGGTTGACTGTGGTGACTGAGGTAAGAGGCTATGGGTTCCATTCACCTGACCTCAGTCTCTTTTCTTCCAGAAATTACTTGGGTGATCTCCATTACACCATTACATCAAAAACATCAAGCCACATGTCACATCAGTTAACACACTTAATATACTCCTCAAATTTTCTGGATGCCACCAAAAGCCCTACGTCAGGAAAACTCAATCCTCTATAGTCAATGGTCTAAAGAGAAATTTAGGTGAATTTTTGAAAACAAAAGACATATCATGCCCAGCTCCAGACTATCCAATGGTTTCCATTCACATGCACTACAAAATGTGAATTGCTTACCATGTTCTCAAGGCCCTAAATGATATGGATTTTGCCATCTTTCTCACCTCTTCTCTTGCCACTCAGCCACTAACTCACTTTCTAATCATACTGGCCTTCTCTCCATTTCTCAAACGAGGCAAACTCATGCCCACATCAGTGATCTTATACTGTTGTGCTCTCTGATCTTTGTATGACTTACCCCATCACTTGATTAAAATCTTTGCTCAAAGGAAACCTCTTTAAAGAGGTGTTCCCTATTTAAAACTGTGGTCTTCTTAATGCTCCCTATAACCTCTTTCCTGTTTCATTTTTCTTTATAGCACTTATTCTTATCAATCACACTCCAAATTTTTAGTTATTGAAAATATAAGATCCCTAGGGCAGAGTTTTTGTTTCTTTTATTATTATATCCCTATCATCAAGAAGAGTTCTGGACACAAAGTAGACAAATCAGTAAGTATATCTTGAATGGATGATGAAAGAAAATTTTTCAAAGTCATAAACTTGCATTTTCCATTAGATTGGGATAGGCTGGAGTGAGAGATATCAGTTACATAGTTGTAGTGGTAATCCAACTCTTAGGTGACTTGGTAATATATCAGGGAGTTAAGAGTAGGAATGAATAGAAATAATGGAATCTGAGGCATTTCAGATAAGGAATGACAAGGGTGAAAGTGGAGGATTCCAAAGTGACCTACCGGTGATGAATTACCATATTCATTAAGTACCTATTGTGTACCAGGAACAAGTGATATGAGAGAAAAAGAGCAAGATCCCTATCCTTGAAGACTTTATAGTCCAAAGATAAATGAAACCAGAGTGCAAAAAAGAGGCAATTGAATTCATCCAGTTCATTCCTCTTTTCCCCTCACACTCTATATCCAAGCCATCTGTAAATTTAAAGCCTTTACCTTCAAAATATGTCCCAAATCTAACCATTCTGCACCTCCTCTTTCACCACTACACCAAAGTCTCTACCACCCCTAGTTTGAAGTACTCCAAAAGCATGTTACATGGTTTTGCATCTTCCATTCTTGTTCTTCTTCAATATTTTCTCTTAATCACTCTAAATATTCTTTAAGAAGTTTGAGTCAGATAATATCATTACCTAGCTTAAAGCTCTAAAAATGGTTCCCATTACATTAACAGTAAGATAATTAACAGCTAATAAATGATATAGAATAAAAAAATAAAGAGTTCAAAGTTATGGCTTATTGCTCACTACTTGTTCCTGCCCTGTTTGTCTGTCTCTCTCTTTCTGGAAAGCCTGTTTCCTCTTCAGAGACTTTACCCTTGCTATGCCTTTTTGGAAAACTCTTCCCCCAGATCTTCACATAGCACACTTCACATCACTCAGGCTGTGTGCTAAAGTATTCTCTTCTCAGATGTGTCTTCATGGACTAATCTATTTAAAATAGCACTCCTAAATCACTATCTTCTATATCTTCTTACTGTGCTTTATTTTCTTCATATCACTATGGAAAATTACATTATTTGTTTGGTTACTTGTCTATTTTGCCTTTCCACAGTAGAATGTAAAGTTCAAGGAAGCAGAGACTCTGTATTTACTATTATATCCCTAATACCTAGAACTGCACCTGGCACATAATAAGCACTCAATGAGCCTTTGTGAATTGATGGATATAGAAAAGCATAGATCGTGTGGTGCAGGCTAGATATTCAGAGATAGGTATTCAGAGATGTTTCCGATATATTACTTAGGTATCTGTACCTGTCCTATTTATAGTATATCAATTAAAGACATGATTATTGAAATTGTAGGTGAAAATATCTAGGTATAATAATTAAAGCATGGCTATTAACCAAGATTTCAAATATCTCAAAAGATTCAACATAACAAATGCAGCAAGATGAAGTTTGACAAGACAAAACTGTAAGACTTCCTTTTAGGTTTACAAAAATCAGTTGCACAAGAACAGAATGGGAAATAAATACCTAAGTTGGAAAAAGTTTATTTAAAAATTTTATAAATTCAATATAAGTTGGTATAACATAGCTGTTAAGCAAGATAATTTATACTTGAACTATAATACATTAATAAAAAGCATCTGAATCAAGAGAGTTTAAGAGTCCTACTAGTCTATAACCTAGTCAGACCACACTTACTCTGTTCTGTTTATTATCCTTATTTTGGAAAAACTCTTCACACATGGCTACATAGAAGAGTAACAAGGAATGATGAGGCATCCACAAAATATAAGATATGAGGCAAGGCTCCAGTAAGTGGTGATGCTTAGCTTAAGGAGATGACCTTGTGACAATATAACTATGTTCAAATATTTGAAAAGCTGTTGAGGCAAAGACAGATGTGACTTACTGTATGGTTCTCTAGAATGGGCAGAACCACACCCCACACTCCTCAAAAAATATAAGTGACAGGGAAATAAATTGCAACTTAAAATTCAAGTGTTCAAAAATTATAGGACTCTTGTAAGTACAAAAGACATCAATCACTGAATATTCAAATATAATGAGCATCAATTAGGAATGCAGGCTTATCTATATTGAGTGTTTGCTAAAGTTCACTTCAACATGGAGTTTACTAATATTTTGGATCATTCCAAATGGGAAAATTTATTAAGGGAAAAGATGATTTTGGTCTTTTGGGATTTGGTTTGATGGAGCTGAATGGGAGGAAACATCTAGGTTGGGATGCCACTAATGAAAGACAGTCAAGTTACTGTTCTCTTATTACTTCTATCTTCATTATGTTGAATATAAATAAAGCATTTCATAGTGTATTTTGAATAAGCATAGGACTGCATACTTCAAAGAAGGTACTCCCAACTTTCATTTTTTCCTGTTTAATTTTTCTCATTAATAAGGAATTCATTTTCAAGTTCATTTTAACCAAGTTAACCATTTATTGATATATATGAGACCTGCTTAGATAGACCCAGAACAGTATTATAACATAGGATTACTAGGTTTATAAACTAATTTCCAATCTATTTAAAATTAGGGTAATTTCTCTGGTAAAACTGATTCTTATTAACCTGATGTTCTGTTTTATTTGTAGATTAGTAAGGTTCTTTTCTTCACTTTCACTTTTATCCTGCCCATTTTTTTCTTTTTTTCCCACTTTTTAAAAATTTTTAATTATTATGGATACATAATAGTTGTATGTCTTTATGGGGTACATGTGTTGTATACACATGTCCTGCCTACTTTTTAGGCATTTTGCAGCTGGTTAACATCTTCATTCAAAGTTGTGCTCCAAAAAGTTGATGAGAAAACTAAAACTAAGTGTTGTCTCTTTAAATACTCCTGATTCAAAGCATGAGAGAAATAATTTTAAAATGAAAATGCAATTTTTAAATTTACAGGTTCTAAGTGGATTTCAATTATTCATGACAGCCTTGAACTTAGTATTTTAGCTAGTTAAAAAGATACTATTTTAAGGAACTTTCTTCATCTTACTTTGACCAAGTCAGAGTAAACTCCTTGGTGGAAAACCCCCTCTAATCATTAGTATACACTCTCCTACTCTAATGATTCTATAAATGACCTCTGAAGAACATTAAATTTCTAGTTTATAATTTATTTATTAAGGTGCTTCATTCTATAGAAAATGTATTAATGAAACTTGTGCATGAGCAAATTTCTGAAATCCAACTGATTTCTGAGCTCCGCTGTGGTTTTTGTCATGTGATATATTATTAATATTCCTGCTTTTTTCTACTTAAACTAAGCCAATGGTTCTCATAACTTTTTCCTGGACCAGCAGCATCAACATAACCTGAGACCTTGTTGGAAATACAAAATATTGAACCCTACCTACAGATTCAGAAATTCTGAGGGAAGGGACTAGAAATTTGTGTTTTAGCAAGCCATTCAGGAAATTCTGATATATGATAAAGGTTAGGAACAACTATATAAAGCTGTAACTATAAGAGGGGAATAATGGAGGCAGTTTCATTCCACAAATATTTATTTAGCTTGTGTTGTGTGCTTGGAACATAAAACTTACTAAAACATTATTTTTGTCCTTGAAATATTCATAGTCTAGTAGAGCAGTCGCAGACCTAAAGAAAAAAATTTAAAATATTATGTAGTCCTTTGACTTGGGGCAGAGATCTGGGTTGAATGGATCTAGGGAAATTAGGACTGTGAATATAAAAGACTGGCTTTTGCAAAATAGGGTATTATTTCTGACATATCAAGCTCTATATTTCTGATATGGCTCCAAATATTTTCCGTGTAGTCATGTTATTGATGACAGG